GAGTTAAAGGGGGACCTGAAGCTACTGTAGCAACAGTGCATGAAACTCGTATAACAATCAACATTTTGTCACGTCAGCACCAACATGCATAATTGATGTGACTGTAAAATAAATCCTGGTTACATGTACAATTATGAGCAGCATTTGCTAACCATCTTTTACTGAACGTTAAATATTTCTTACAAAAATATTAAGACGTAATAATAATGTCCAACACCTTGTCAGTGGATGCCCTTGCGTGGCACAAACAACATATCTTAAACGACATGATGGCATGGCTCGCTGCTTTTACTACCGTCTCCGTCATGCCTGTGGCTTTGACTCCGAGGTCAATCCATGGTACGATCCTGAACATGTCCAGGGCGTCATGGAAAATGATGCTTTCAAACTTTTGTGGAACAGGCCCATATACAGCCTCAGAAGAATTCCTGCCAACAAACCTGATCTTGTCCTTTTTTGATAAAGCCAATGAATTTATTTATATCATTGAATTTTCTGTCCCTTTTGACAGCAATGTGATTGACAAGACTCGAAATGTCTCGCTTGCATCCAAAGTACACTGTCGTCAGGCTGCCCATTGTTCTCGGTGCCCTTGGTTTGGTACCTCCTGATCTCTTGGCGCAGATCGGGAGAGTGCCCGGGTTCTCCACCGGGAGCACAGCCTTTCTGACACTCTGGCTAATGCAAAAGGCTGCAGCGTTGGGGAGCCTTCATATTCTCCGGAAAGTTCTTGGTGGGATCAACTAGGCAGTTTTTTTTCTGGGAGAAGTCCCATTCGCTGTCTGGGCTGCGTGCGTGTGAAGGGGGCGACGGTCATGAGCTGATGATGAGCCTTACCAGCCTGACTGTGCCAGGATCACCCGAACCCTCTCTGCTGCATTTTCATCTTTAGTCTGTAAAACATAATAATTCTCCGGAAAGTTCTTGGTGGGTTCGACTAGGCAGTGTTTCCTGGGAGAAGTCCCATTCGCTGTCTGGGCTGCGTGTAGAGGGGGCGAGGACCCTGAGCTGATGATGAGCCTTACCAGCCTGACTGTGCCAGGATCACCCGAACCCTATCATTAATCTGTGAAACATAATAATAAATGGCCATTTCTTGTGCGCCATAGTCCACCCAGAGCATGCTCAAAGCATTACATATAAAAAGAGTCAACAGAGTTGACGAGGAAGATATAACAGTTCGTCAAAATGAACATGAGACTTTTTTTAAGAGGAAGGCTTTGAGTCCCGATTTGAATGCTTCTAAGGATGAAGCATTTTTGATGGGAGTAGGAAGACTGTTCCACAGGGTTGGTGCTGCAGGTTTGAATGACCTATGACCAAAGTGTTTGAGATGAACTTGGGGAACTGAGAGAAGATCTTGATTATGGGAGCGGAGAGAACGGGCAGGCATATATGTTGACAACATCTGAGAGAGGTATGGAGGAGCTAGGCCGTGTCTACAGCGGAAAGCAAGAGTGAGGATCTTGAACTGAATTCTGGCTTCAACCGGCAGCCAATGCAGACTCTGGATGGACTTTGGCGCTCAGTATGTGAGACCATTTGGATGTTTTAGTGACAACTCTGGCGGGAGCATTTGAAGTTTTTTGAAATCTGAGGAGAAGATCATTACACATTCCAAACAGTAGGCTATTGCAATAGTCAATCCTGGAGAGAACAAGTGACTGAGTGAGAACTTTAGCTGCATCTGTGGTTACAAGATGGCGGATGCTACCAACAGAGTGGAGATGGAAGTAGCCTACTCTACAGAGATGGTTCACATGTTGCTCCATGGTGAGACAAGAATCAAGATAAACACCTAGGTTCTTTACACTGGATGAATGTGGGATATCTGAGTTGGCTACTGTGATGTTCGTAGAGTTTATCCTTTTCAGACGTAGCGATTTGCCAATCAAAATAGCCTCAGTTTCTCCAAGATTACATTTTACCACTGTCAGCTGTGATAACAAACAACGAGCTTATAACAGAGCCTCGTCCAAAGGGGTTTGTTTTGACCATGTGTGAAATTCTACTAAACTGACATAGTACCTGAATAACAATGCATCCTGTAAGTTGAATATGTGCATTCCTGAATGAACTGCGTGATCTTAAGTGGATATGAAGTTTAGTTTGTTTATGACTTCAGATGTTAACATGCCAAGACTGTGTAAACATATCAGCTGCTTTAAATTGAGTGAGTGAGTGAGTGATTGAGTTACATTCACATCCGCAGTTTTTTCAGCCAGATGGTGACTACGAGAGTTGTATACATGTATTTAAAAATAAGCTCAGACAATATAAGTTGTATGCTTCTCTCGAGGGTAATACCGTATTACCCGAGGGAAAAGTTTACAACGCATTTATCTTACCGCCTTGTTAAATGTACAAAATATCATTTTATTTTATTTTGAAGATCGATAAGCTCGCTACCAACTACATGACATGTAAACAATATGGCGTCTGCCTCTCGACTGGATGTTTAGAATCAGTGAAACATATTCTGACAAGCTTAAAACTGCTTATAGAAATACTTAATTATGTTTAAGTTGAGTGTGCAAACTATTATATGCATAAAATAGTTTAAAGAAAGAAGTGAAAGTCGATAAAACAAATGTGTACATAGTGAACTGAAAAACAGTAAATCGAACGGGTTTCGAACTCCATGCACTGTATATTATATATATTATATTCAATTCTTTATTACAGAAGTGTAGGCCATCGGCTCATAACTACATAGGTTTCATTTACATGGCAAAACATGGTGTGTACAGTATAGATTGATAATTTTTAACATCTTAGATACATTGCATGGTAGATAAAGCTAGCTAAGTAATTTATAAGTTTACAATCTGATGATGACATGAGGAGTTTAAATTTGGCTTTACTTGGATTGCTACAATATGTTTGAGGTAAATGGTTCAAGCGGAGCTGTTGGAATTTGGAACACACGAGGAGAAGATGGTATTCATCCTCAATATAACCTTCATTGCACTGTAAACATAATCCATCATTTCTATCTATGTTATAATACCTTCCATTTTCTTTGCGTAACTGATGTGAAACACATCTAAACTGAGCGAGTGCTACTCTAAACTTTTTAATGTTAATCACATTTAAATACAATTCCCTGGACAATGAAATTTTGAAGTAAGAATAAAATATAGATTTGCTGCCATTTTGAAGTGAACTACATGTATACCAATTCTGTTCATGAATACATTTAAGTCGACTCACAAATTCAGATAAAAACGGGGTAGGAGAAATAACAGATTGCTGTTCCCAAACAAAACCAAAAACCCAAACTGTACAGCAGATCTCGACACTTCGAAGCCCAATTAACTTTATTATGATCTAAAGCCATTAACATCATATGATAACATTTTTTGGGATGACGAGAATCAGACATACTCAATAATTTTAACCAATACTTTATTACCCTTTTATATGCTAGGATATATAGGGGATACCGCCCACATTCACCACGAGCTATATTATTAGTTGTATTTTATTATGACGCCATACGATTGTTAGCTTTAAAGCTTCTCGGCGAGAATTTTGACGGTTACCGTGGCAACGGGTAATGTTTTATCTAGTTGTCACCCTCCTGGTAGGGGTGACACGGAAACTTGCTAGAGCGACATTAACCAATGAAATTAACGGAGTACAGTGCGTGAGTGAGTTTAGATCGTACTCAGCAATATTCTAGTTATATGGCGGCGGTCTGTAAATAATCGAGTGTGGGCCAGACAATCCAGTGGTCAACAGCATGAATATCGATCTTCGCAATTGTGATACGATAACGTAGATCACCACCCTGGTCCCAACTTCAAGTCCAATGCTAACAAAAGGAAATCGAGTTGTCAAACATCAGATACTTATGTTTGCCTTTGTCCGGTTATTAATTCACGGTTAACGTAATCCCGATGTTGCTTTACCAGGCATTCTCAGTATGGAACAATACGTCTACGCTGACTTAAAACCTGCATGCTGTAAGTAACAGCTATATGACAAGTTGAGATTGGATTTCCATTCTCAATGTCTTCTACATGTACAGTATCGTATTGCAAGGCAGTAGGACAGCAGCTATAATAGCTTTGGCTATGGGCATTACTAAGTATTAGATTCCCTCATTATATACTCCTCACAAAAAGTTAAGCAACACAAATTTGTAGTCTCATTACATTTTCATTTATTGAAACTGCAAATCATGGAATGATGCAATAGAAAGGTGAAACATATGTACACACGATCATCAAAATCATCAAAAGCATGTACCTACGAAACAGTCGTGCAAAATGTGCTGCATTGATTGAGCAAAATGTTAACATTAAGGTTCAAGTCAGTTTTGGACAGTGAAGCAGTGTTCTGTAACGCGTATGACCACAATGAGCATAAATGCAAGTCTCTACACGTCTTTGCATTGACCAAATGAGCCTTTAAAGTTGCTGTTGTGGAATGTTCTGACATTCTCCCTGTAACGCCTGCTCAAGGTCATCCAGAGTCTGGGGTTGAACTTAAGACCGTAAACACGACTTCCAATAATGTCCCAAGCATGTTCAATGGGATTCATATCAAGTGATCTTGCAGGCCAGTCAATATGTGTGATGTTGTTGATCTAAACAACATCTTTAACAAGTCTTTCTCGGTCATTTTCATCCATGGACGGGTTTTTATCATCCATAAACATGAAGTTAAGACCCGCTTGTTGTGCCAGAGGAATGATTACAGATAGGTTTACACCGATCAGGGTGCATGTGCGAAGAGTGGAGCACATTCATGCCACACATTTCGCATGTTGTATTTGAGGGTGGTTGTGTTCCGGTGATGTTGTCAATGTTATCAGATAAATCAATTTGACAGTCACTTAAGATTATGTAGTCTCTCAATATGTACCTTTCAGTAAAATGTCAGCAAAAATCGCTATCGAGATTGGTAAAGATTTTTATCGAGATTGACTCATTTTCTTTCGAGGAGTATATATAACATTTAGCATACTTTGTGTGTCATATCTTAAAATGTGCCTATGTCAGCGTGAACCTGATTTTGTCCTTGAACTTGCTGTCCTTCATCTTCTCCTGGTACACCTTGTCAAAGATTTCGTTCTGTTCCGGTGTCAGCCAGTTCTGCCAGTCTCCCACTTGGCCTGGAACGAGTGAGTGAGTGGGTTGGGTTTAACTCCGCTTTTAGCAATATTCCAGGAATATCACGGCGGGGGACACCAGGAATTGGCTACACACATTGTACCCACGTGGGCAATCGAACCCGGGCCTTCGGCATGACGAGCGAACGCTTTAACCACTAGGCTACCCCACCGCCCCTGGAACACAGTCAGTACAGAGTTCACACTGATACTGAAGCTGGTTGGGGGAAGGCTGAATGTTTGAGCACGACTTTGACTTCAGACAACAACTCATTTTATATTTTAATATGCTTATAATAACGTCTAAGATTTTATGCGAGGTACGCCCCCAGTATACCACTCGGGAAATCTTCTACATGTTCCTATATAATAATTATATTTCGAGACAACCACAAATGCGACATACCATATTTCCGCAGTACAGTGTTTGATTATATATGACTGAATAATGTAAGGTCAAGTGTAAATAGGGAACATTAGTAGATTTGTTATTGGCTTCGGTAAAGAAAATTGTAATTCCCACCCTTGCACAACCATTCTTGATATATACTAGATCGATAGATATAAATTAGATAGGCACTGTAATCAAATTGTTACAGAAATGGACATAATAAGCGGATCAAAAACATTTTTTGTGTACAATATCTTGACACATCAATGAATAACTCAGCACAATTCTAAGACATTACTAGAACGTTTGCAGTCCATTCAGACTCCTGACTTCAGTATCTAGTGTGACCACCACGAGCGGCATTAACTGCAGCAAAGCGTCTATGCATGGAATGCACCAATCGTTTTATGAAGGCCATTGGCACCTGGAACCACACTCTGAGAAAGGCCTGGCGCAATAAAATCGGCTGTTTTCGGGCTTGGTATGACATTATTCAGTCTCCTCTGAATTTCATCCCAAAGATGTTCAGCTGGGATTAAATCTGGACTAAGGGCTGGCCACTGCATAATGTTGACACCGTCGTGCTGTAGGAAGTCCCGTGTAGCTCTGGCAGCATGGGCCCGGGCATTATTATGCTGGAAAATGTTGTTCAGGTGACGTGCGAAATGTGGTATGACGTGGGGTCTGAGAGCTTGGTCGATGTAGCGCGCCGCTGTGATGCCGCCTCTTCTCCCTGGACCAAGGTTCTGGAACACCACAGGACCCACGCTCTGGTTCAGGCTATTCCATCCCATACCATGATGCTTGCACCTCCCCATGAGTCTCTTTCCATAACACATTAGCCTGAGTAACGCTGGCCATGTCGTCCACTCATTCTTGTTCTGCCATCTGCAGTTGATAGGCAGTACCGACTATCATCTGTGAACAGAACAGTTCTCCATTGCCTGTATCGCCAGTTTGGTGTTGTAGGGCAAACTGTAGACGTTCACACCGATGACGAGGATGAGGATAGGTCCACGATAAGGTCTACGGCAATGGAGGTTCCCGCTGTTAAGACGTCGGCGTTCTGTATCAGTACTGATTGGTCTTCCGTGTGTTCCCACTGTCCGGCGTGCTGTTTCGGATGCCTGCATGAAGGGATACTGTACATGCTGTCGCACAACATGGCTGTCTTGTCGTCTTTTGGTCACCCTTGGTCTGCCAGTGCAGGGGGCGATCATTTCTGGTGTTGGTGCGGATGCATTTTATAGGGCTGGTCCTTGTGAACAGCACGTGCAGCATGAGTTGCATGAAAAACATGGAGAACACCATACCATCTCCGAGATCAGGTAGCATTTTTGAGACCATTTCCTGGATTCCATTCTGAGTTTGGGGAGTAGTGTCTTTGCTCAGGTAAAGTTGGAGATGTTGTCAAAAATATACAATCCAAACATTAAATGAGTTTACAGTTATCCGTTTCTGCGAAGGAAAATTCCGAACTGACGTTTCTTTTGCTGCTTAGTATATATTTATCCAGCAATGAAACATTCCGAAGCATCATAAATGAATCTATAGACTATTGCCAACTGATCTCAATTTCGCATTTTCATAAAATAAGTTACGCAATGAAAGTAAATAATATTTTCACTCATCCATCCAGTGTTTGCAAGACATTAATTTGCCAGTTGGCCATCAGGGCCTACTGCCGCCTGCAGGCTTTAAAATCTACAGAAACTGAATGAAATCAACACGCCCGTTTTGTTAAAGAGAAACTACTAAAAACAAAATAGACTCCACTGTACACAGTTTCACACTGTTTTTTACAACATCAATTAGCGAAACCTATGGCGCAGAGACAAGTTTTAATTATATAATTTGTTAAAGACTGAAGTTGACATTCCTATGCGCAAAGCGCTGAAATACCAGGAAGTGAAACTGTAAGTTATCGTAACATGATGGATCATGGATGAATTCCGAACTTTAATAAAGAAAACTAATTTTGGGAAAGATTCCATTTGAAAACAAATCACAGATAATTTACTGAAGGCCACAAGGGCCTGCAAATATTTGAAACTGCCGACCCGATACAGTAGCAAACGGCGCTGGGCCTTCGGGCCGGCGGTTATTTCAAAATAATAATAAATATAGCTGCGAGCAGCGACGAGGGCTCCTTTGGTTTGATACAATCTAGCCACTTGTACCTGTGATGTAGATGTTGAAAGTAGTAATGGCTACTGTTAATATGGATCATATCACTGCCAGTAATGGGAAATTCGTCATTCGTTAACTTTGAATTCATATGGTCCAGGGTTAGATGGGTTAGATACAAAGGATTGTGTAGTATTGTGTGGATAATGACACTTTCGATATAGATTCTTACATTGGCAAAACATCTAGGCCAGTAAACACCAGAGTGAAAGAGCACCCGGCATCAACAAACAAATTCGACAACAAATCAGCTATCTCAGAAGACATTCAGACCAACCTCAATCTCCAAATCAACTGGACAGAATACACAATCCTGGCAAACACTCTGGCTTTACCAAACGGATATTTACTTATGCCATCCACATCAAACGGCACCGACCCCTGATCAACAGAGATCAAGATTATTTCATCCCTTCAGCATACGACGAACTCATCAACCAACCCTAACTGCTTGGATAACTTGTATAAACATGTCCAACCTCTCCTGCTCTGTACATCCCACTGGCTTTTAAATGTAATCCATTGTCACTGGCTTCTACATGTAAGCCTTTATCATCACATTGTTTCTGTACTTTCCAATTAACTTCTTGTTCTTGTTATTATTTACTGTACATTTGATACATGCTATTTCATTTACCTCGAACAAGCATGAACAACATATGTACCAAACGGTGTTAATATCCACATGCACCATAGAATATAAGCAAATCTTTGGGATACATACTGCTAACTTTTATCGCGCACCGATAGCAACTGTAGTGCGGAAAATATAATCATTTGTCCCTCTGTTGTGTTTGGAGATAAATTACTGAAATCGGCAGATATGATCAGAACTAACAGCCTACATGTACAGGTAAATATTAGTCGAAATCGGACGGTTGGTTTCAGAGTTATGGGTGTTTGAAACGTATTTAAGGGCTTTAAATCGTCCAAAACAGAGCCAGAACACGTTTTTGACAGGCGAGCGGATCTTCCAAATACAGCCGAGGTCGCGGGGTCATGTACCTTTTTAAGAAGTTCCGGAGGAGAAAGAGTTCCCTCTTTGACAGGCTGTAGATCCGTTGTCCTTCGATCTACAGTTAAAACAATTAGTGTTCTGGAATTGACAAGTCTTCAGCTATCAGATGCACACACACATGACATGACGGACGACCGGAAATGCCTACCCGTCAAAAGCGTGAAATTTCCTTAAATGCAATGTGGCGGCCAAACGGTGCCTCGTAGTCCCATGGATCCTGCAGTTGAAATTGAAGGTAATCGGATTCCAGACCTGTTCCAGAAATATGGTAGTCATCGGACTTGTAGTTTCGGAGATTATTGCTTTGGAAATTGAAAATTTTGAATTCATTTTGAATTATCTCCCCTTTGCTATTAGGCCTAGAGCCTCGAGATTTTTGCAGAAACAACTTCAGCACTGTCGGCACCTTGGTGATTTTTTTCAAGCGATTCTGTCCAGCGGTGCTTTTTGTAGGACTGGTACAAAATACGGCGGAATAATAAATAATAAAAACTTTAACGATTCCAATAGGTCTCCTGCCTTGTGGCAAGGAGCCCTTATAATAATGTGTCGATTTATATAGCGCCAAACTCCAAACTAGGTATGCTCATAGCGCTAACAATCAAGGCACAGCACATTATTACCCCGGGGAATTCAAGCTGCCTGTTAGGCGCTAGAAGGTTATAGTCATATGACATTTCCACCGGGTACCCATTTTCCTGCTGGGTGAACAGAGACAATTTTGAACAAACTCACTTGCCTAAGGTGAGACCACATGTTTCAGATGTGTTTCGTTGTGGGGCAGGACTCAAGTCCTAGAAACTCTCAGGAGTCAAGCTGCCAAACACGGTCACCCATCCAAGGACTCTCCGAGCTCGAAGCTGCTTAACTTCTCCGATTTGTGACCTGAGCTTTGGGTACAGGACCACGAACGCTGCATACACCCCCCTCCATCAACCCAACTCACCCATCCATCCAAACATTGTTTTAATTTTAGCCGTATTAATATTTTTCGGATAGGGTTGTTTCTGGTTTTGTATGTGATGCAACCGCCTGGGACACAAAATCGCTACCTCAGGGGTGATGGAATATTGCTAAACACGGGGTAAAGCCATATTCACTCACTTCTTGATGGTAACTGGAAACATAATATGACAATGTTTTGTGAATCTTTCATAAAGCACATATAATTTAAACGTCAGGCGACATTTTTGGAGAAACAAATTAGTTGGAGGTTGAGGTTTTTGACGTGATTGTACAGAATCTCTTGAAATAGAAGTTTCTCCTTTGTGTGCGCCGTTATATAAAAGGTGAAAAAATCAATGGCGATTACGCAGCTATATACTCTTAACTCCTTTAACCTACCTTTCCGATAAACAAAAAGTTTGCCCTTGAACTTGGGATCATATGGCTCCTTGTCCGTCCTTCATATTCTTAAAAGAACATTTCTCTGCCACGGGGCTGTACAGTGAGTCATCAGCATGTACTCCCAGAAACACTGCCAACTTCCGGATTTCGATCAAGGGGTTCTAAAGACAAGACCATGCACTGTTATTCAACAAAATGTTTATTCTGGAAGGTTGACCCAGGCTTTCAAAACATCTTAAATCAATTGCAGATTACGATCGTTGGGCACGCCAAAAATCTGATTCCAGGTTCAATCTGATTATGTTTCCACATTTGTCAATATGCCCATGCCCCTGAAGTTTATCAAAGTCGAATACTTCTAATACCAGCATCAACAGGAGCGTTCGTTCCATAACATTCAGGAATGACTGGAATTCTGTTCAAACATTTGTTAAACCCAACAGAATCACCAACTCTGGTTTAGAACAGTACCCTTCAACCTATGTATGACGATGTTTAGTCCAAAAGGTTTAAAAATGTACAACAAACCCCACGGGCCTTTCAACTATACTCTGACCCAGTGAGATGGCGAGTCTTGTTCTTAGGCATGTAATGGGAGCTAATATATCTCAAGTTACAAGAATACCAACATTGTATGGAGATCATTCCCACCCTGGATACGCCACCAGGGCCTATTTTGGAAACTCGACCATTGTAACAGTGAGTGAACATTACAGTCGTTGTCTTTATTGCTATAGTCACTGCTTCTGTGTTGTACTGCCTTTGATTTTTACAGCCACTCTATTTTGTACTGCCACAGTACCTCATGCATTTACGGGGATCTGGCTATTGCTTTTCATCTCACAATATATCTCAAGAGTTTCTCAATAAGTTTCAAGAGGACCAGCAGTTGTTATATTCACTGCCCCTGTATTGTATTTCCTTTTAATGTGTACTTTCCATAATAGTTAGTACTGATAATTGTAAAACTTTTTGCAGTGATTTGTATTGTCTTGTAAACTACAAAAGCCTATTGCTTCCATTTTGTAGCATAAAATATATTTTCAGCGAAACTTCTCTTTGTTTCGATTATTGTCTCGCTGCTTCTATTTTTTGTCCGTTACTTGAACTATTTTCTTGTTGCTTCGAGTATTTCAAGTTTTTGAAAGAAACTTGAAGCAAGGATGAATTAATCGAAGCAAGGGGAAATACTTGAAAGGAACAGGAAAATACTCGAAGCAATGATAAATTAGTTGAAGCAACTAGATATTATTCAAAATTACAAGTTTTTAAAAGAAATGTGAAGCAACGATAGAGTAATCAAAGCAAGAATATATAACTGAAGTAACGAGAAAATACTCGAGGCAACGAGTAAATACTCGAAGATGGTTTTTTTACTGAAAACTGAAGTGACGAGAAAATACTCCCAAGCACAGACCCAATAATCGAAGCAAAGAGAAAAATAGTTCATGCTACAACATTGGCATCATAAGGGATTCGTAGTAAACTTGTTGGTAGAAAAACATAGTATTTTAAAGGACTAATTCACCGTTTACTTTTCGTTTCAACCTGATAATCATATGTAACAGTTACCATAACCAGTAATATCACTGACCTGCTTCATGTCTTCATAGTACATTATGTGTATTGGGTGTTGGTCTTGCTGGGCCTCGATGTCCTTCTCCCACTCGAGGACATAGTCAAACCAGGATCCGTAGTCCGCTGCAAATAGGGTATATAGGATATACAGACTGGTGCAAATTATTCATCACTATGCATTCTCGTTGTCCTCGCGCGCCGCATTGCACGCGACATAAACATCTGTCATATTGAATTTGTAGGTTATGCTCTCGTATTTCCTGTATTTTTGGTGTCTGACGAGATATTGGTCACAGATATTCAGAACTCAGTTCATCGTTTGATTAATTCAGAAAGGACTGAAATTGCCAGGTTGTGACTTGAAATACATCAGACACCAGTACCTAGCTGAGTTTATGTGAACTGAATATCAAATGGTGGAATCCTTAGCGAGGATCCGCTCCAGGTGGAGATTTCATGCTGAAAATATTCATAGTAAATACACGGATTAAAAGATCGCTGACGGAGTTGTTAGTTTCCCATCGTACCCGAACTCGTAAATATTAATTTACACATCACCAGAATCTAAAACTATATCGTATACATCCATAAGGGATCAGTGAAGAGTTTCATGTGAAAAATGATAGATATAGTGCTCTACAGAGCAAGGATTGGGACTTTTTCACACCCTAGGGGTACCCGACACATCAGCCATGTTGACATGTATACACCGTTCACGGCTGGTTCTGACATGTCGCTCCGACTCAACACATGTTTTGTGTTCTTGTCTGTGCATCTCATCTTATCATTCTCCCTGATTTGATATGTTCAGCAGTGTGCGAGCTACAAAGACTACCCGAGTGAGTTTTGCCATTCAGAAACTGTTTGTTTACATTTGTGTCCAAGCAGTGACGTCACGGATAGCACACCCCGGCTCAGTATCGATCGTACTCGTCTGCTCCCACCCCCATCCCCCATAGACAGTCTAGACACACGTCTAGAGGACCAGGAACACCGTAGCAGGAGGAATAACATGGTGTTATATAATGTCCAGGAAACTGGTGATAATGAGACCTACACAGAAAGTAAGAACAAAGTGATCGATATTCTCAATAAAGCGAGAGTGACTAAAGAGACTACACAGAAAAAGATGATCTCAATAAAGCGAGAGTGACTAAAGATCTCCCACCCCTTATACCTAGAGACATTGAGAGGGCCCATAGGATCGGCAAAAAGAACGATAAGACAAGACCTATCATCGGCGGTTGGACCACTGGGAGAATAAGTGGCATTCTGTCAAATTCAGGAGTGTGCTTAAAGAGCAGGGAGTTGGTATAGCCAATGATCTCACCACCTATCAGCGAAAAGAACTCAACCGCTTGAGAGATGCACACCCTGACACCCGCTTCTACTATAAGGGGAGCAAAATAATGAAGGACCCTAAGGAAGACCAAAGTAGATCTGGGGACACTCGGAGTAAACCAAGGTCGGACAATCGCGGAGACCGAGACCGCGGGGGCACGAGACAGGGTCTGAGATCGTCATCGCGAACCAATGACAGAGACCACACCCGGTAGGGAGGTGGCCAGGGCCAGGATCATGTGAGACGTTCTTTGACGCATCAAAGTGTTATGAATGAGACTGACGATTGTGAAAATGTTTGTGAAACGGTTAATTTAATTTTTTGGAACATTTCCGGTATCGTGCTAAAACTTACAGACGCTTGTTTCGTAGATTATATCAAATCACTTGATATAATTGGTATTACTGAAACTTGGTCGCTTGACTTCGACCTCGAAACTATTTTCAGTGATTTTAAGTTGATTGAAAAAAATGCACAAAAAATATCTAATAAGGGCAGAGCTTCCGGGGGTATCGTAGTACTGATAAAGAAACAGTTCTATGATTACATGAAATGGTCTAAAGTAACAGAAAACGCTATATTTATCATGTTTGACCATACACTATGTGACCTCGACAAAGATATTTTGTACTCTTGTGTATATGTACAACCTGAAGCATCCACTTGGTATGATAAATACTCACCACTATGTAATAATGGTGTAAATGTATTTCAGGACAACCTATTATCAATTGTTTCCTCTGTACCTGACTGCTATATCTTGTGTGGCGGAGATTTCAATGCGCGCACCAGAATAGACCCCGATTTTATCGACGATGATCGACTGGAATACACTGAAACCCAAAACCATTCGTACTGGGACTTTCTTATAGACTATTTCCATCTTAAACGGTTCTCCGCCGACAAGGTTATAAACAGGTTTGGTAAAACACTTCTCGACATGTGCTCCGTTTTTAATATTCATATTATGAATGGTCGTTGTGCCAGTGATGCTCAACTCGGAGATTTTACTTACATAGGTCTGAATGGTACCAGTGTTATTGATTATGTTATTTCGTCAGCAGCATTATTTGACTATGTAAATGATTTCAGTATACAATCACGCATATAATCAGACCATCTTCCCATTATATTAAGAATAAAATCAAATCATAATAGAAAAAACTGATACACATGATAAAAGATCTGAAATTAGGTTTAATTACAGGTTTACTTGGGATAATGATAAGTCAGGACAGTTCAGGGAAAATTTGCTATCTGAAAACGTTCAGGAATTGCTAGATAAATCTGTTGATTGTGCTTTCAGTAGTATAGATGAAAGTATAGCATATATGGCTGATGCGTTCTGTTCAGCGGCTTCTTGTATGAGAAAAAAAAAGTTGGTCAATCCAAAGCGTACTTGAAAAGTTGGTTTGACTCAGATTGCGAAAAACTGAAAATCGAAAGATGCAAACTTCTCAATAAGTTCCGGAAATATAAAGACAAGCATTCATTTGATCAATATTGCATCGTAAGAAACCAATATAATGCACTTTGCAAGAAAAAACGTCTTCACTGTTTTAGAGAAAAACGAATAGCAATAGAAAATAGCATATCTAATTCCAAATATTTCTGGTCTGAACTTAGACGTTTAAATAACCATTAAGTAAGGCAAAACAATATTCAGATACACGATTGGTTGGCACACCTTAGGCAACTCTTTTGTGGTGTTCATACAGTAGATCTGAAAAATGACCATAATTATCATGACTATACAGAGCAGACCAACCTGAGTCGGCAAAACTCAGAACTTACGGCAGATATACTTGATTCACCAATCACTAGAGAAGAGATTTTTTGAAAGTATTGACAATCTTAAATCAAACAAATCACCAGGATTTGATGGCATGATATCAGAATTCTTTAAACACTTGTCCGACCTTATCGCACCATACCTAAAACTACTCTTTAATATTATATTGGAAAATGGTACGTTCCCACACTGTTGGACGATTGGTATCATTGTTCCAATTCATAAACATGGTGATGCAAATAACCCAAATAACTAAAGAGGAATAACATTACTTAGTATATTTGGTAAACATTTCACTTATAGTTAATAAGAGACTTGTAAGCTGGGGAGATACAATGGATAAGATAAACGAATCGCAAGCTGAATTTAGACATGGATATACCACTGTTGACAACATGTTTATTTTACAAAGTATAATACAAAGATATTTGAATTTAAAAGAAGGAAAATTATATGCCCTATTTGTAGATTTTTCGAAAGCATTTGACTCTGTCCAACGCAACAAGCTTTGGTCTCTATTTCAATGTCATGGTCTCAGTAACAAAATGAGTAAACTTTTGTCTTATATTTATGAGAACGTGAAGGCATGTGTTAAAAATAATCACGAATATTCGGAAACGTTCGAATTACAACTCGGTGTAAGGCAAGGATGTATACTTAGTCCATTCCTGTTTTCAGTCTTCATCAATGAGCTTGCTGTTCAAATCGAAACTAATTGTTCAAGTGGCATATAACTTCATCCAGAAATAGTTAAAATTTTCCTTCTGTTGCTTGCAGACGACGTTGTGTTGTTTTCAAGCACCGTTAGTGGAACAACAAAAATCGTATAAATGGAAAAACAAAAATCGTAGTCTCAAAAGGGAGGTAAACTTTCTAAAATAGAAAAGTGGTTGTTTAAGGGTATACATCTAGACTGTGTTAGCTATTATAAATATTTGGGATTGTATTTTACCAATGGTTGGTCTTGGAACATGCATGTCAAATATGCTTCGCTCCAAGCGCAAAAGGCACTTATCGATATTATGAAGACAATAAGTACACTTGGAGATATTAGTTACAAAACCTTTTTTAAGATTTTTGATGCAAAAATAAACCCAATTTTGACGTATGGAGCAGAAATCTGGGGATTAGCAGACTTTCATCAAATAGAAAGAATACACTTGTATGCATGCAAGAAATATCTTGGTGTTAAATTGAATACAGTTAATGCAGTGGTTTACGGTGAATGTGGCAGATATCCAATGCACTTGTTTACAAGCATAAAAGTTGTCAAATATTGGTTAAAACCGTTAAATTTGCCTTCATATCGGTTACCGAAAAAATGTTATAATATGATGTTATTGTATGATGAAAATGGACAAGTTGGACATCTCATGTTAAGAACTTCTTATTCTCTATTGGCTTCGGAAACGCTTGGAATGCACAATATGTAGAATCACATACTTCATTCATTCAGTCGTTAACAATAAGACTTAAAGACATATATCTTCAAACATGGTGTGAGAAAATATATTTGTCAAGTAAATGTATTTACTATTCAAACTTTAAAAAAGATCTATTCAATGAAGTATACTTATCATGTGTTAATATAAAGAAATTTAGGCGATCACTAGCAATATTCCGATGTTCATCTCACGATTTGTTGATTGAAAGCGGCAGGTATAAAAATGTTAAAAACGAAGATAGAATATGTACACTTTGTAATTTAAATGAAATTGAAGATGAATATCACTTTCTCCTCATCTGTCCATCATATATTTCAATACGTCGTAAATACATTAAAAGATATTACTATATCCATCCAAGCATCATAAAATTATCTACCCTTATAAGCAGTAAAAATCAAAATATATTACAAAATCTTGCCATGTTCATCCAATGTTGTATAGAACAAACGTTTTATCACTGTAATGTAAATATATTTATTTATGTAATTCCCAATTATATATGTATATGTACAATAGGCCTGTGGCCTCTTCAGTACGAAATAAAGATTGATTGTGTGTGTGTGTGTGTACCGGACATGCGTGTTGAGGACGCGAGGGGATCCTGGGAATTCGTCTATGACTTCCTGTGACTGGAGCTCCACCATGAGTTTACTCTTCCAGTGAGGGATGGTCTCTGCTTTACCCTGGAGCAGCATGGAAGTGATTTCCCAAAGCCAGTGTGTACCTAAGAATCATGATGCATCTACTTTAGGCACTGCTTTTGTTACATTTGATAGTACCATGGTAAAATGGCAAACATGTACTCATTAGGACCGTATTTTCTTGGACATGAAGCGTTCATCTTGAAATTAATCAAGGCTCTACTAGATCATCAACGTAACAACCTATAATCATGTCCTCCACACAAACATCAATGTCAACAAGAACATGCGCATGAAAACGTGATTTTCGACCTCTAGAAACACCTGGATTTCTCAAATGCACATTCACCATATAGTCAAACTGACATTGGATGTTTTCACGAAATATGAGAAGTAAATGAACAATATCCGTTCTTAATTTAGATTACATTTTGGATATGAAACACAAACCAATTCACCCTGACCGTTGCAGTGGTGTGTATACATGTGGGTTTAGTTTTACGCCACTTTTAGCAATATTCAAGTAATATCACTTTCACACATTGTGTGCATGTAGGAAATCGAACCTGGGTCTTCGGCTCGACAAGCGAACGCTTTAACGACTGTTCTACACCACCGCCCCCATATACAGTAACCATTGATTTATCACCTCTGTTTTTAATATACGTTTTTAGTATGGTTTTGGGTGTGGTATGCATATGCAATTAAAGTTACCTGATTTGGGATATGCCAGTAATAATATATCGTCATCCTTGACCTTCAGCTGCGACATGCCCTTAACTATTTCCGGGTCAACGATGGGATACCGAAAGCCATCGACCTCCAGGAAGCTAATAGAGTTACCTCCCATGTCGTGGTCCTCGACAACAGACATCCTTGAACGGCCGAGGGACTGTACATAAAGAGGAAATGGAAAATATAAAAGTCGTCATTTTTGGTTCATATTTCTGGTCAGCGACACAGTGTTGAAATCTCAGGCACCCAATCGTTTTTCTGAAAAGGTTTTGAGCTTATAAAGTGTCTTTCTTAACGTAAGATAACGCATAGAAAAATCGGCATATAAAGCGTCTTTGTTGGCGCCATTTTACATATTACAGAAGCTGACACCCGCAGATTTCTGCCTTTGTGTGTATAATTCTAACGAGCATTCAAAGACTCTTAAACATCAATATTTTCTATCACTTTAGCCATTGCGTAGTAAATCAAGAAATGTATTGCGACACACAAAACACAAACAGAACCAGTGTTAAACTTTAACTTCCGCGAATGAAATGTTATTACATGGAAAGACAATGTTTCAAGGTGTAGGTGGGATCAACATTCCAAAGGAACGGCGTTCCTGGCATATGCAAATGCATATGAACTCAAAATGAGGTTCACAATCAAGTTCACATTAGTGATTGTGCCAATCTTGTGCATATATGAAAGCCGAACACATTCGCATCACTGAGGCCACAAAACGTTGATGAAGGTGCTGATGCAGATCACTCCATACCCGAGGAACGATTTGGCAGAGTACCTCCAGCGTCGTTGCCGTCGTAAACATTGTTCCATTTCCTCCCAGACGTGTTTAATGTGAAAAGAGTCTTTCAGGCCAGAGTAAAACTGTCGTTTGCAAAACCTCGTCTCGGTATCTCAAAGCTTTTAAGTTCCCCTTAATCATATTCATTGGGTTTGGCTAATTGGAGTACTATCGCCAAACGGCTTAAGGGATGGTGTAAATCCAGCTGGGGTCCTTGCAACTAGCCGAAGTACTAAAAGACCCCATGGTCCCTAATATGGTGGCTACCTTCAGTTGCTGGCGATCTAAAGCCCGTTTATTTTTTATTGCATCGTTGAACATGATGATATGTTTTATCGTCCAATGCTAGTTTTAAATCTCAGTTTGTGATCATCTAGTTGTTTTACTGTCCTTTGGTGACAGGTTTTAGTTGGAAATGTATTGTTTAAACATATAATTTGATCAATTCACAATATGGCAGAAATAATGCCGTTGTGACTCACAGTAAACTCACTCACTCACTCATTTGCGTCCTTTCCTGTAGCTGTTATCCCACCCCGATCATAACGCCGTCTAGTCTGTCTCACAGTCCCTGAACCGCATTACTTTCCCTACAGCCTAGTCTCCTTCCCTGCAGTGCTAATGACTAAATGAAGCAAGTCTAGATTTCCTCAGGTTCTGAATCTCTGATTTCCCTGGGTTCCTTTTCAATTGATAATAGGTTTGTTTGTTACTATTAAAATTATATCTATTCAGAGACTAAGCATTAGTCTATAACCCCCTGCCTCTTGCAAAATCCGTGCTTGGTTGCGTTTCTTCGACCATTTTACGACACTCTTTGTCTGGTTCATTTCAAAACATGAATCACATGCTAACCAATGAAAAGCTTCGATGCCAGAATAACGTTTACACCTTTGTGTATATAATACACTGCTCCCTGCCAGTGATGACGTCATCGGTGTATATACATTTATACATCAAAAGCACTTGTGTCTATGGTCTCTGCAATAAAATGTGCAGACTGTACCAACATAGCACATGGCATAGCAAGCTGCTTTACATCTATCACCCTCATGATACTTAGAGAATAACCTACGAACATAACCAAGAATAACGAGAATAACCAAGGCTCGGCACTGTGAACATTATTTCAACTCGGGCATATTTCCCGTAATCACTCGTACCTCGTTGGTTATTCTATTTATTACCCATAATGTAATTTAAAAGGAAGAACCACGAAATAAAAACCACCCGGAGACAGGACTTGTGACCTTGATTCGTATTCCTGCGCGTATTAAACCTAACTTCTCCAGCGGTAATAACATAACTACGCTATGGAAATGGTACATCATAAAATCGCTTTAAAATACAACAAAATTATTATGTATGGAATAATTAATTAACATTTGTTAATATGATAAAAATGATCTTTTAAATATATCATTGAACTTAATAAGAGCTAAACATTTATTCGATCAATTCAGTGCGACGGAACATCGTTCATTCACGACTGACGTGTTTTCTAGTGACGGGTGACGGTGTAGTGTTGAAACACACTCTGGCAAAAACCTGTCAATTTTTGGAAAAGTCAACGGTTAAAAGTTGGGAAATCTAAAAGACAACCATCCCACGAATACATCTAGAAAAAGTTTTCTGTCAAGAAACTCAACAAGTTTGAAGATTAAACAACATTTTGTTCTGTGGAAGGCGTGTTACACCCTCGTCTTAGTAGAGTACAGCAGTTCCAAGAAGGATAACTCTAGTCGGAATCCGAGTCTATGAAATGTGTCAATCTCTGCATCGACTACTGGGACCAACCTCTCAGATTGATTAGGAATGCATGGATATAAAAAGTCATCTTGCAGAAGAACATTTAGCACGGATTCCGGTAAGAAAGGAGCTGTTTTCTGGTTCGATGGCATGGACGCCGTGTCCGACTTACTTGTTACACTTTCAGATAACATCTTTAGTCGGTATCTTGCTGTTTCTATTTCCCCGAATTCAGTTTCACCAACAAACAGGTTTTGGGAATTCAAGGGCTGTAAAATTCTTATCACTCTTCCTATTTGGTCACAGTCAATAACTTTGAATTCAGGTAAGTGACCTTTGATCGGGGTTAGCCTAACGGCGGCCATGTTTGTTTACAAACAGCGCAAACGATTGTTTGGTGTGTTTTTTAAAGATTATATAATTTAAAAAGACTACTATTTATAACGCAGTTTTATTCCAAAATAATAACGTCCAATAAAAAGAATATTAATATTCTTTAACCTTAATGTTTTCTTTTTTAGATCTCGGAATGTGTGATTACATTACATAATGTCAATTTATCAATGAATCGATGAAACTTTATGAATGACGTAGTGTGTGAAAGTAGTTCCGGCATCCAATGAAAATCTACAAATATACGATCAACCAATCAACGTCGAGAATCACTAAATTGCACCCTGTGCAAATATCAAAAAGATATTACACGGGATCTCCTCATCCGTATGGGTAATAAGAATTAAATATGTGGGATAACAGCATTGTGTCTCGATATAGACTAAAAATATATGCCTTTAACTGACCATATTTAGCATGTTGACCTTGTTTCGATATATTAGGTTCGAAAAACACAACTTAGAATGAGGAAGATGGAGAGCTGCTTGGGATTAAAGCTGAAATATATATTCGCGACATCTTACACGTCTTACACATCTTATTCGTGTCATATACATCTTGCATCCTCAAAAATGTCCAATGGTCTGTAAACTATGGTTTGACCCGTATACACCATACTTTAAAATGTCTGATGATTTGGCCTTTTGGACAAAGCAATCTTAGCGCTACGACTATCTTAAGCCTATGTTGAAGATTGGAAGTAGCGCTAAGATCGCTTTGCGCAAGTGAGCTCTGTAAACTATAGTTTGACTCAGTCTATACGCCATACTCTAAAAATGCCCGAGGGTCTGTAAACTATGGTTAGACCAGTCTATATTCTGACAAGCTTAAAACTGCTATAAAAATGGTTAATTATGTTTATGTTAATTAAGTTGAGTGTACAAACGATTAAATGTAGAAGATAGTTTGAATATTGATGTGAGTGAGTGAGTGAGTTAATTTTTAGAGTATCACAGATCTGAACATAAAACTAGCATGCAAAACTAAAACAGTGTAATTAAAGAAGACAATACAATATAAAACACGGGCTATAGATCGCCAGCATCTGAAGATAGATCACCATAACTAGGAACCATGGGGACTTACATTACTTTTGCTACTTGCATGGAGCCTAGCTGGATTTACACCATCCCTTCAGTCGCTGGCGATTGTAGGATAATTTAGCCAAAATTTAAAAGAACAAAAATACCACGTTTAAAAACTTGGTACCTGAAAACTTCATTCAGGAGGACAATAATTGCACGCTACTTCAACCCCCTTTGATGATACAGCCACTAACAAACTAAGTTGATTGTCTGAACTACCAATTATAAAACTTTATCTATTTACAAATCGGCCTTACTGTTACCAGAGATTCCAACATGGCTGGGTAACCAACAGAGGACGATGTCATATTGGCCAGTAGCAAGCTCATTGTATAATTCGATTATTTCTATTTAAAGTTGATGTTTGCAAGAAAGATTTTTGATAGCCTGAAGACACGAAAGAGAGTCGGAAAATATTATATATTGTTTATATTTAGGGTGTTTTTTAATATATATAAGACGTTAAGTTAAGTTAATATGACGTTAGCTTCTGCTGTGAAAACAGAGCTGTTATTTGGTAATCGGGAATATATTGTTCTGGATCCAATGACAGTGGCACAAGCAACCGCGCCACCATCCTTGGACCCATCTGTAAATAAGCATTTATATGTATTATATTTACTTTTTAATTGATAATATTCTTGTTTATATTGTAAGTAATTAGTTTCTAAAGTTTAAATTTAGTGAGTGTTAGGTCGTCTTGTGGCCTAACCAATTGCCAAGGCGGAGAAGAAAGAAGACGGGAAGGAGATATATTTTCCAGCTCAATGCCGGCAGTAGAAATGAATGGTTTAATTCTTAGCCCAAGAGGCGGAACATGAGAAGACCTTTTGTTGTATAAATCCTCATTAAGAGGATTGAAAACACAGTTAAAAGCAGGATTAGACTCGTTAGAATAGAGTTTTGTTATATACTGTAATGATAATTTGATACGAAGTTGGTTAAGGGATGGCTCATCAGCGTCAACATAGAGACTATCAATAGGAGAGGTTCTAAAGGACCTTAGGCCTTGGTGGTGGACAGAATCAAGTAGTTTTAGGTTGCTTTTGCAGGCTCCTAAATATACGATGGAGTCATAATCAAGTTTCGAGCGGACAAATGATCGATATAGGTGGAGGAGGGCAGTTTGATCCCTTCCCCACTTTCAACAAATCAAGGGCCATGAGGCATTTAGCTTTAAGGGATTTAATATGCGGCCAAAAAGTTAAATGGGAGTCGAAAATTAGACCCAAGAACTTGGCCTCCTTTACAACTTTGATCGGAGTGCCATTTAAAGATAGTTCAGGGTCATTATGCGGCATATATTCTCTACAAAAGTGTAGACAATTAGTTTTGGACTTGGAAAATTTAAAGCCGTTTTCAAGACACCATTTATTTATTTTATTTAAACACAAATGCAATTGTCGTACAATAGTTTGTAAAATCATGTAAATCCTTTAAAATGCCATGCTTCCAGGTGGTATCATAAGCTTTCTCCAGAACAAAGAAAATTGATGCAGCATGTTGTTTATTTACTGTAGCATTTTTAATCTATTATTCACCATACGTTCCATGGTTTTACAGACACAGCTTGTTAGAGATATAGGTCTGTAATTCGACGGATCTGTATGATACTTGCCAGGTTTTACTATTGGGACTACAATGGCATTACGCCACGAGGGAGGAAAAATTCTGGACGTCCATATTTTGTCAAATATATCTAAAAGTGATACCAGACACGGTTCAGGTAAGTTTTTCAGTAGCTGGTAATGTATATTGTCATCACCCGCTGCAGTGTCATGAGCTTGCTCAAGAGCAGTATGTAGCTCATGTAATGAAAACATTTTATTATAATCTTCACCGTTATTTGATTCGAAATTAAGTTTTGTCTTTACCTGTTGCTTCTGATATCTCTGAAACTCACGGACATAATTTGCCGATGAAGAATTTTTGACAAGAATTTCGCCAATTTGAGATTTGTCAGTAATTAAATTATCACCATCTTTAAGATGGTGAACTGCAGATTTTGAACCTTTGCCTTTGATTCTTTGAACCATATTCCATACCTTGGACATTGGCATACGTGAATTAATTTTGGAGACATAGTTCCTCCAATATTGCCGTTCGTTTTGTTTGAAGGTACGACGTGCCTTCGCATTGAGTATTTAAAATTTATTTATGTTGTGGACAATTGGGTGATGGCGGAAATAATTCTCTGCCTTTTTTCCTCGCTTTCCTGGCTTGCCTACAATCAGTATTAAACCATAGTTTCCGAACATGTGAAGTTGTAGAGGACTTTGGTATACAATCGTCAGCAATTTCATTTAAAACGTCAGAAAAAACTGAATAGGATCAGTTATATCACTGAAACATTCAGATCTTAGTTTAGATGTGCATAAAGTTTGAAATAAGAACCAGTCTGCCTTGGACAAATTCCATCTCGTATACGATGGAGAGTCAGATGGATTAATTTCTGATAAGATAGTTGGAAAGTGGTCACTTCCACAGAGGTCATTGTGGACTGACCAATCAACTTATTAAGTAGATTAGAGTCTGCAAGAGACAAATCTAAAGAAGAGTATGTGCCGGTTGCAGGGTGCAGATAAGTGCTTGAATCGTCATTGTATATACACAAATCATTATTGGTGATACAATCTTCCAGTATTTTACCTTTTGAGTAAGTGTTTGTACCACCCCAGATCGGGTTATGGCCATTGAGATCACCCATAATAATACAAGGTTTAGGAAGTTGGTCATAGAGAGCTTGAAAATCAGACTGATGGAGTGTTGAAATAGGCGCAATATACAGAGAGCATAGTGTAAAGGTAACGTGAAGAGTAAGTCTAACTGCAACGGCTTGGAGATTAGTTGTGAGTGTTACAGCACTATGGATAACATCCTGCTTAACAAGTATTGAAGACCCTCCAGTGGCCCTGTCACCCGGAGGTGAAACAGAATTGATATAAATTAAAAATATCTGTCTGCTTCAGATAAGTTTCCTGCAGACAGAAAGCTGATGGTGCAAAATCTTGGACCAATAGCTGTAACTCATAAAAATTGGTCCTTAATCCCCTACAATTCCACTGTACTAAGTAGTATATACAATAGCGGTCCGAGATCAAGTCCAACAAAAGCCCCTGTAAGGCTTTATTTCACAAATAAAGCTTTTGTCAGGCCCTTAGATCTCGGACCGCTCATTCTATAGACTACTTTTGAATCCACAGTTAACTTCCCGGCCACACATGACACAATAATGTCACTATGACCGCGATCTAGCACTTTCCTGATCATGTGACATTTCGTGTTGATAGGATACCATTAAGATTACTCGACAAGGTAAGTTAAATATTTTGCTTGGGGGTAACATTGGGCTGTACGGTATGACTAATAATTCCTCTCTAACGAACCCTCTCCCTGGCCCATCTCTCAAGTAGTACAAGTTCGGCTCGTCAGCTTTGATGTCCACTTTATCTATGTTGTAAGTTTTGACTGACCATATCGGATCGGTGTCTCGTTTCCGAGTGTCCCCTTCATGTTCCCCCGGCTGGTAGAGGTACCTCACGAGGGCCCTATCGGGTATCTGTTTCTCCTTCCCACGCAATGGTGCAGCTGACTCAGCTACCACTGATTTCAGTTTGATAGCGTCGGCTGGTTTCTTGCCGGTGAGACGGGTGGTTTCATGGTTGATAGCCGACACCACCTGAGGTAGCCGCGCTACCCATTCCGTCGATCGTTTTCCCGGGTTGACCATCTCTTTTGCATACTGGTGCCCGAATAAGCGCTCGGCCAAAGTCCTATTGAATCTCTCTCAACTATGGCTTGACTGCGATGGGCTCCGGCCGCGCCACGCCTGACCTTGGTATCGTGTTTGTCTAGCAGTTGTGACATGGCACGCATGAACTCCCACCTGGGGTCGACTTGCAGCTCTGTGGGCCACGTCAGCGGGTTGCGTTTGTATGTGCGTTCGAATCCGCGGGCTACCTGGGCCGAGTCTTTCGCGGTCAAGGGTTCAGCTTCTTTGTAGCGACTTTGTCCACGACGGTTAGGGCATACTTGTGCCTCTTGTCGTGGGGTAGGAACAGGAGGTCGGCATGGTGAACGCTATCGGGTATGTTAATACCGAACTTCCTTCTAGGCACGTAGCGTGGTGCCGGTAAATAGATGTGCCACAGGGCTTGTTTTTCAAGCCTTACGCTTTGGCCTCGTCCGGGGGTACTCGCGCCATTTTGGCCAGCTTATGTACGGCGCTAGCTCTTTTCCAGTACCCACATGGGCTGTAGTAAATAGACTCAAACTTTCTTTGGTTCCGTGACATCCCGACATATATACACCTATGTTCTTCGTTCAATTTTCTCATGCCCGTACGCGTACGTGTTGATCCCGTCGATGGCTATCCAACGCTTCGTGTCCATTGGCGACAGGGACGTCTTGTTATAATCAGTCCATATATCCTGTGCCCGTCGCTTCTAAGCGTCTTCATTTGATGCCTGAAGGTGCGGTCTTGAACAGGGCTTCCTTAAATCTGGCGTCTTTGATGTGTTGTTTAACCACGTACTTCTTAACACCCTTTGCCTTTTGGATCTCACCATTGTTGGCCTTCAGGATGGAGTACATCTTGGGCCTCAAGCCTATGTACTCTGCTATGGGCGTAACAGCACACTCGTCCTTCATCTTACCGAGGACCTTTGATGATAATTGACTGACGAGAATT